CTTTTTCTGGGACTAAAGTAAGAAAGGCAGAATTCAAACTCTCGCACATTGATCCATTCAAGTGAAACTCCTTGAAAACTTTCTTCAGATCCATCTTAATGATCTCCAACACTCCTTAAAGAACTCTATTGTAAACTATCAAGCCCTCGGGATTTATCTAGACCTAGCCCCAAAATTGTTTACTAATTTCCTCCTCCTCAAATATTCTCTCCAATAAAACGACCTTCTCTCCCTAAATGGGGCAACTAATCAATCCCCTTATGGAAAGGTCTTTGAGCCACTTGTTCTGTAATAAAGTCCTATAGGAGTTCGAGATTATTGATCAGTGACCTCCCTTCTTTCCTCCAACAATCCCGTCTCTAATTTTATCTCCTTGCTAGCCCTTCTCCTCCTATGAAATAATCAAGTGTTAGTGTGTCCTTTGGCCCACTTGTTTTTTGCCTTTTTCTACAGCTTCTCTCTTCCTTTATTATTATCTCTTCCTATTAATTTGTTAATCCTGTTTATTTTCCTGCTATGTATCCTATATCATGTTCTTCGTTGCAAGCCTCTCCAATTCACTCATTTCCCCAAATATTTTACTTTTCCTGAGTTTCACATTTTTAAATACCTCCTTATTCAAGTTTTTTTAGTTCCTCTTTCAAGTGCTTTAATTTTCTCATAAATTTGTGGCCCTCCCATCCTCTTTCCTCATTCTTATGCTATTGTTCTCGAACCACTTCCTCAAAAATAAGCCCTGAAGCCACATATTTTCAAACCGGAAAGGGGTTGGACAATCTAATGCGTTGTGATTTAAGTAATATAGGAAAGTAATTTGAGACAGGAAGTGGGAGCAATTCCTGTACCAAGTCAGGGAAACTATCGTCTCAAGGTGTGTGATCAGAAAGGGGTCCAAATGGGAAGAAATTGTACCTTGATGGCTCACTAACCATGTGAATTGACCGTTAGCTAGCGGGAGATTTCTTAATTCACACTCCTCCATGAATTCATTAAATCTGTGCATGGTTGTGATGATTCCGTCACCTCCTAATTTCTCCTACGGGGTTCTACAAGTGTTAGATCTCCACCTATGGACCACAACTGTCCACAAAGCCCTGATAATGAACACAACAGCTCCCAAAATCTAATCGAGATCTATACCTAGTTGGGCCATAGATATTAGTAAACCAGCATTTTCCTTCCCCTTTTACATCTAGTAACACTATCAAGGTAAACTGTCCCTCAATAAGTTCCACCTTAGTAGCAAACTGCATGTCCCAGATTAATATAATTCCTCCCCATGCCCCTATATGAGGAAGGGCGGCCCACTCCTTATATCCTATCCCACACACTACAGACTAGCATAGTATCAATTTACTGCTTTTTTGTTTCATGCAGCATTACTAATCCAGGTAGCTCTTCCTAAAACCTCTTTGATTTGTTTTCTGTTTTGCACATTTCTTATCCCATTTATGTTCCAACTACAACCACTCAACCATATATATACATACAGCAAATAAGTAAGCTATTCCTATCAACATAAATTTTTAGGACCAAAACTCCAAACAACTTTTTATTTCACATTACAAACATGAGTTTGAATTAACATAGAAATGCTTATGCACTTATCTACTGCACAACATGTAGGTTCTTACAGTGGATCACATTCTTAACTGAAGCATAAAATCGATCCACCAAATCTGATATTCCAGCCATACCATCAGGTGCCAATTTGTTCGGAGGAGCAATGATCACCGAAGGATCATAGAAATGCAGCAAAGTTTTCGTATTCTGGTATGAATTGCTAGTTTCAATATATTGAGAAAGATGCAATGAAGCAGACCTCAAATCGAAAGCAGCCAATCCAACCTGTTCATATAAGTTGTCTCAGACAAGCATCATGAAACTTTCTTGGTGTCTTACATTCTTACACCATAATGCGTGTGTGTGCGTGTGTGTGATATGTGATGGTAAGAACTGAAACTTTTTTCTTTCCTCATTTAGTTTAAAAAGTACTAAAAAGTACCTTCCTTCACTTTATTCTCAGTGACAACATCTTAGCGGAAGCTAAAAGAAAGTAGTCTAAATAAATTCATTGGATTATAATAATCACAAGTCATGGTTTCTCTTCCCCATGTTTCATAATCCTCATGTTAGTTGGGTTTATTTAGACTTTTGGGATATCCAACCTAGTGTAAATAGTTAGATTTATTTCCTTTTTCAATTCTTTGGAAAAATACCTGCTTTCACATATTACAGTTTTGTATATCAGAACTTCAGGTCCACTAACTTTTAGGAATAATAAGATGGAATGCAGATAAAAGATTGCTAGAAACACAGTTACAAACAGGAGTTGCTACTGCATTATAACGAGTGTATATAATATTTAATACAATTGTTAACGTAAAAGAATTTGTTCACAGCCGTATCATGCTATTAATACTAAACACAGATTTACCAACTCAATAGAACCATAATGTCTGATATTTTGAGGTTGATTCTTTATATCACACTTGGTTCTCATTTTTTTAGATCTGTATCTTTCAGAAGATCATAAGCCATTGGTATTTTCTTGTTGCCTTGGGCCTCAAGCCTTTTCTCATCCATGCTTTCTTTATAGAAATCTTAAATCTTAGGTCAGTAGTTGTGCAAAATGCCAGAAGTTCCTCTGATCTCAACCTTGCTTGGTGCTATCTACAACTATTCAAGAGTGCAGCTGTCATGATTTTATCTCTCCACATCTCATACTAAATTGCAGTCAATACAAGGTTTGCAAGCACTAGGAGGTTTCTTTATTCTACTGATTAATTTTCCACGCCCTTTTGTTTACAAAAACCTCTAGACTAACAAATAGAGTAATCTTGTCATTTCAGTGCACCAAATCGCAGTGACAAAATGCAACATCGGTTGCCTATGCAGCCATCTAATCCTCACTGCAAAGCAATCGGTTGTCTGTTATCACTCATTTTACTCTTGATGCACATCTATGATGCTTGTTCACTAATACAGGAGCTTTGATAGCAAGTGGTGCAATATCCTACTTTTCTTCCATGAATGTGAAAGAAATTATGAGAACAAACTGAGAATTTCAAGACATTACAGCAAATAAATTCATTAGTCAGCACAAAGAGTGTATTGGAATCCAATGGTTAATACTTCAACTACCAGTATCGTTGAATTCTTTATGCGCTAAGTCACCTCTAAAAATAGGCAGAATTCTGCTAACTAAAATTAACAAAGAGAAGAAATCTGTCGAATAATGCAAGTGCACGTTTTAGAAATTTAGAATAAATATTGCATATATAGATTTAACGTATGATGAATAAAAAAAACCGTATGCTATTCCATATTTTTGCTGATTCCAATATCTGAAGAGAAGTGGCATCACAACTTGTTCACTTTGCTTTGCGCAGATCACTTCAGAGCAAAAGAAACTGGAAACAGACAGTCCATGCAAATTCTTTTCTTTAACATTTTCTTGTATGATTTACAAATGTCATGCTAGCCGCACGCCAAAATAGTGGCAAACGAAAGTACTATTCATTTTCTTTTCGGCGCTTTTTCTTAGAAACCAAACAGAATACCTCTTTAGCTCTATTTTCGATGAGACCGATCACGAAGCTTGAACTCTCTCCTCTGTCCTCTTCCATTTCGTATTCACGCAATATACTGAGGCTTAATTCAAGAATGAGCGCCAGTTCTTGTGATATTTATAGGCGAGACGTGGTTAGCGCTAAAATGAGCTTGGTGCTGGATGTTATTAAAAACGCGCACTAGGAATTTTTTAAAAGAAAACTTCACGTTCCCGGTACCTCTATTAAAAAGATTTAAAAATCTAAATACATCAACTTTTTAAACCAAATATAACATTTTTTAAATGGCTAAAAGAGGGTGTTTAAACTTTTTTTTTTTTATTTTGTTTAATTGAGTGTAAAATCTAAATACATTAACTTTTTTTACCAAAAATATGACATTTTTGTTTAATTGAGCGTCTAATTTTTTTATTTATTTTAAACAAACAAGTGTCTAATCTTCCTTATTTCCTTCAGTTTCATGATCAAAATTTGATTTGAACAAAATTAAGTACCTAATATTTTCAATCGCGTCTAATTAAGTGTTCCTTATTTATAAGTATTACTTAATTGAGTTTTTCTTCTACTTAGTTAAATTAACTCTGGGTATAATAGTTATTTGAATTTGGTACTAGATATATATCACATTCAACTGATTTATAACCAAATCTAACAGATTCATTAACAATCTGCTAGCCAACCCTAACCAATTGTCAACCAACTGTTTTCCATGTATCAAGATAATCATCAGAAACCATTAAATTTATACGTCTATAAATTGAATCCTTAGAACTTCTATTATGGTCATTCTTTTACGAATACTTTACCCACACCACCCGGAGTCCGGTACTCTTACACTGTTAAGATTAACTTTGTTGAAAAAGTTACTACATGATGAACTTTGGACTTTTGTCCTTATAAATTTCATGTATGAAGTTTTAAATACTAATTCTGATTGAATAAGCAACATATATACATTGTTACATAGACACATTTAGCAGGGACAGAATACCTGGTAGAGATCTATTAACATCAATTTGTAAAACAATTTGGTGCAGTTTCATTAAGAAGCTGATATTACTACCAGAGTCATTAAAATCAATATTCCATGCCATTCTGTCCGTTAGTGACCTCCTCAATTGTAACAAATCCGCCCTTCTCAATAGAACGCTGTGCTGCAACTCCCATAGCAACTGAAATCAACCCATCACGCAAATCCACAGTAGGAGCAACCAAACCTCTAATTGCAGACAGAAAATTAAGGTGTTCCAAATAGCTGGATCCGTGATGCAGTCCTTCATATCTGAAAAACAAACCAAGAGAAATGATCAGGATGAAAAGGTTCTATGAAAAATGATGGATCACATGTTTAAATTTGGTGACAAACACAGATACCCACTTTATTCGGTTATCTTCAGCTTTAAAACTGTGAACATTATTTCTTCCTCCCATTCGAGTTCCAAAACGAACAACATTCTCAGGAATAAAGGCCTCACCCTGTCCCCAAATACACAAATAATGGAGCCAAAACTGTACTATTGTAACAGGATACCAATTGTGAGTGTGTGTGTGAGAGAGAGAGAGAGAGAGAGAGAGAGAGAGAGAGAGAGAGAGAGAGAAAGAAAGAGAGAGAGAGAAACCTTTCCAAGGTCACCTACAACAGATATTTCCTGTTCATTTTTACTCCCTTCAGCAAACATGCATAGGTCGAGCATTCCTCGAGAACCATTGTCAAATTCAACAATCACATATGCATTGTCAATGATGTCAGGTACCTAAACCAAAAAACTTACAAGAGTTAGCAATAGATACAAGTAGAGTATTTCATCTCTATTAGACAAGTGCGTTCAGAAACACTCGAATGTAAAGCAAAGAAAAATCAATCCATTTCAGAGCTTCTTCTCGGAACCTTCTAGCGCAATAAGAATAACCTGCCAAATTTGGCATTTTAACTCAGATAAATTAAATTCAAATTAGAGGATGTTCTGATTACTCAGATAAAAAGTGTGTCCCATATCTATTAGATAAAACCAGAGAAGATAAGAAAATCACCAGGAATAGTCAAATGGACTGGATTGTTAATTGGCTCGTTAGACGAATTAGTAAATGAGCTACAAAGATAACATCTGGATCAACACAATCACCAAGAAGATTTGTGCAGATAACTCCTTCAGGAACTTCACTACCCATTTAAGGGGAACATTAAAATATAAAAAATAAATAAATAAACCTATATCTGGATGCTAGAAGAATTGTGCTTTGACTAGATTTTCTAAGGAATGAACTGGTTTAAGGTAAATATCTTCAAGTATGGTGGAAATATTAAGCGAAAATTTGGTTGAAGTGTCTGTAAGGCTTTCTAGAATTTGCAAGATTTATCCTTTCATAGATGAAGAGAGAAATATATGCTACACCCCGAGTTATCACATGCCAACTGTCATTAAAAGAATCTTACCTTTCCATCATATACTTCATCTTTATGGTTAAGATCCATGGCACCGGAAGACATCACACGAACAGGATTTGCACCTGCAAATAACCTCATCAGGTCAAAAAAGTGGCAGCACTTCTCTACCAGAGTCCCTCCTGTGTTCACATTGAATCTGTTCCAATTGTTGACCTACAACAAGCACTAGTCAATAAAATAAAAGACTGCAATGAGGACGTTTTGACTTGTAATGTTTACCTTAACCAAAAAAGGAAACCTATGTTCCCGGATTGCCACCATCTTGACAAGCCCAATACTTCCACCTTTAACTATTTCTATCAATTTGGCAACAGGTGGCATGTATCTGTACTCCAATCCAACTTGTATCAGCATTTCTGACCTCTTTTTTGCCGCATTAACAACCTTATCTTATCACAAAGTATAAAATACAACATCAATCAACCATGAAGAAAATGGTAAAATACAAAAGGGAAAAAGCTGCTGTAAGCAGTATACAAACAGATCTGGAAGTGGCCATAGATACAGCTCAAGACAGTGGGAAATTCAGTCAATAACTATCAGTCTTTAGATGCCGAGTTTACGTTATAGGTACTCCACTACTTTCGCTTTATACCACATATTAGAAGAAAAAGGCATATATTTACACAAAAAAGTAGCTTACCTACTTAAATTTTGCATTGATATCTTTTATACAAATTGCCTACAAGAACAAAAATATATGAATGAATATAGATGCTTATAAGTACATTGACCTACCAATGCAAGGACCTACCACATACACACTCCTAACATATTTGGAATACTCCTGCTCAGATTAAAGTATAGATGTTAATGATCCCGACTCATTCAAATATAATCAATTCAAGAACCTCCTAGAGCTTTCGTCAAAATATAAACCAAATGATCTCTAGTTCAGACATGATCACTGGGGATCAATTCTTGCATAAGTTCATGTTTGGAACAAATAGAGAATTTTTGTGAAACTCGCTTTGAAATGAGCAACTCATTAAACAAGAAGATGACTAAAATCTCATATAAATGACATAAATTGAGCTAATAGGAAATTCTAAGTGGAATTCCCTTAAGCTAAATTTTTATCATTTTCAAGTAAAATTCTCATCATTTTTTATTTCAAACAAAAAGCAAAATTCTCATCATTTCCTACTTGAGTTAGGGTTAATTTCCAAATGAATTCAACAATAATTCTTAATATGTTCCGAGCATGGCCTAAGTTTTTCTCAAATAGAAAATCAACTTCATGCGCTTAGTTAGCTCATGAAAGATTGGATCTGAGATAACACAAAGAGCAGCTAGGCTGTCACGCAGTCAATAAGGGGTATATATATATATGTAATCATATATATTATTCAAAACTAAATCTGCAATGGAGCATGTAGCTCCAGCAGTGACTAATTTACAACTTCTAGTAGGTGGGAATTTGTTTGCTATTAATGCACATTTTTCTGATGAGTTACTATAAGATAATTCTATTTTACAACCAACCTGTGATATCTAAAACGAAAGTCGTCATTGGCAGGATTTCTGATTAACAGTTGCATTATCTTAACAGAATACTGCTGTCAATAAGGTAATCAAAAAACTGCTGGCTGCAACAGTGATGAAGCCCAAAAGTACATAACTTCAAGGCACTCAGCATGGAATGAGGGATTTGTTCTTTGAGAGGTACGGAATGAGAGACTATATGCACCATAAAAGAATTCATAATCTACAAACAGAAGCCTGGGGAAGAAAAAGTATATAAAAAAAAAAGAAAAGAAGCACTAACCTCTCTGCAATCGGCAACTGTGGTGCACATTGGCTTCTCTACAAGCACATGGTGGAGTTTAGGGTGGTTAATAATATCCATAAGGATCTGATAATGAGTCATGTTCGGAGTGGAGACAACCACCACATCACAAAGCCCACTTTCTAATAATTCCTGATGCCCTGAAAATACCTTTAAACTTCTTAATGTCACAAAGCTTCCTTCTTAAGATATAGTTATACTCAAATTGCACAGAAGCTGGGAACTAATAGACCTACAGTAGACTTCGATTTATTCAACTACAGCTCCAACTTTTTGAAACAAAAAACCCAAGTACAGTAAAAAGCATGTCTAAGTCAATTCTTTTGGATCAAAATGATAAAAATTAGCTCTTTGATTTAAAAGAAAATGCTTTCACCTGCTCAACGCCCAAGATTACAACCAAAAATCACGAAGATCAAACCAAAAAAAAAAATTAACATGGGTATAGAAAAATTCTTGTTTAAGCTCAAGTTCTACATCAAAACTTCCCCTGCTTGTTACTAAAATGGAAATTTAGGTAAAATGAAGTAAACAGCATCTCAAAACAAGTCAAATGTGGAATATATGATAACCCAAGCATCAGAAATAAACACGAGGGAGCTAAAACAAAAAGATGAGTACCTTAAGCGGCCAATCAAAGGAGTGAGCTAATTCAATGGCAAGTTTTTGGGAAGGGAGATGAGGATCCGCTATGCAAACAACAGCAACGCCTTCACTGCGAAGATGGTGGAGATTAACGAGGTGCTCTCTTCCCATCATACCTACTCCTATGATGCCATACTTCACCACAGTGTTATTAGCATCCATGATGAAGATCTGTGTTTCCCCCGTTCCTGTGCAGCTGGACTCTTACTTTTAGACTGGAGCTGTTCGTCGCTAATATTCCTCTGCTACTGTAAGCTTTAGCATCTTAAAATTCTTTGGTTATTATTATATTAACATGATTTAATATATTTGAGCTTTTACCATTTTAAAATTAATTTGTTAGTAGTATTTATTTATAGTATATTTTTTTAATAACTTATATAATATGAATAAAATTCGTATTTTAATGTGTCTTAGATGTATTGTATATTTAAAATATGTATTTATGGTATATTTTTATAGTTATCTAAAATTTAAATTAATTGAAATTTTTTTATCAATTATCTAATAACAAAATTTTAGCTTAAAATTTCTACGAAATTAAAATTATATAGTTAATTAAAAATTATCAATTATCAAATAGCAATTATTTCTGCCGCCTGCCTTGCTTACAGAAACTGCGGAAGTCCCGCAAAAAATTTCGTACTCCTGCAAACCCTAACAATAAGGCAGAGAGCTAATCACCCTGCGCGTAGTAGGAAGGCAGCAAAATGAAATATCGATTTTCGCGACATGCCTCTATGTTCCCTTACTACTCGCGATTTTACCATCTCCACAATCAACGTCGGGTTTTCACTTCGTTTCTCAGAAAGATTCAAACAAATTTCCAAGCTCGTGCTTCCTTCAATGGCGGCAGTGGTGACTCTCGAGGTCAAGGTCAGGAGTTGGCCTGTTTCAAGTCTCAATTTACAGAGTACTTACTGTTGTTTTTGCTGGGAAAATTGCTGGGAACTGAGGGAACATGGATTTTGAGCTTTACCTTTTTTTCTTTACTGTTTATACAACATTGCTTAGTCACTGATATAAACAAGTGAAAGTGAGTTCAATGTGGCAAGTACTTCTGTAAGAGGGCACTGAGTTAAACTTCGCCTCAAAAGCATGGTGAATTTCACTACTCTGTGCATTTTCAGGTAATGCTTTTCTTTTGCCTGGTGCAACGGTAGCTACAATACTTATGCTAGGTGCTCTTCATGCTCGCCGGTTATATGATGACAAGAAGGTACTTACTGATCGGTTTATGTCGAAGAACTGATGGCTTACCCTCCTTTTGCTTCCAAAAACAATAATCTGCATCTATGGTTAAACTGTTATCTCCACTCTCCAGGAAGTTCTCTGGCACCTTGTTTCTGGCTCGAATAATCCATGGAACCTAAAACCATGTTCTATCTATTTATTGCATCATCTAAATTTTTGCAGTTATTATTACAATGAAGGTTTCTGGAGTTATGTTTCCTTCATGTCTACTTATCTGTTTTTCTTGCTGATAGATCGAAGAAGCACGGGAAGAGGGAGTGGAATTTGAGTTCCAACCAGATGTTAAAGTATCTTGTGTTCTCATCTCAATCTGAAAAAAATTAATAGTTGTCATGTTATGACTGTCATGTATAACTTCTGATACAATTTTTTGTGACCTCGCAACTTTAGGCTTCATTTCTGAGCATCCTACCTCTGCGCTCTATTTCAAGAGTTTGGGGTTACTTGACCAATGTGGTGAGTGTTTTTCCTATGTCAGAACCGAAAATGTTCAGGTATTCTTTAGCAATTTGCTGTCATCTTTTGTTGGGGTTTGGTTGACGCTTATGTAGGATATCCAAGTTAAACATTTAATCTGGGTTCTATTTCTATCTCTGTTATTCATCTGGCTATATTAATTCACTTATATTAGTGCCATCTTGGTAAATCATTGAAGAAACTATTGCCGCGGTACTTTATAGTTTGTGATCCTACATAAATTTGGTTGTCCTGGAAGGAACTAGTGAAACTGTTAAGGGCTTTGGCAGACTAAGTAATGAATTTGATATGCTCGTACATAAAGTGAAGAGAGTATAGCTTCTCAGTATGGTGCTTGAACTGTGTAGTCACCT